GTGTCAAAGGCACTGGAGAAGTCGAAGAACATGATCCTCACGGTGCTCTGTGACTTCTCCAGGTGGGTGTAAGCTCTGTGAAGCAGGTAGATAATGTCCAGGCAGTCGCATACCAGAGGTCTGCTGCAGAACCAGTCTCACAAAGGTCACCATGACATGTGACGTTAAAGCTACAGGCCTTTGAGAGCGCTGGGATGTCCTTTTTTGGAAACAGGAACTAAGCAAGAAGTCTTCCAGATCTTCGGCACCTTATTCAACCTCAGGGAGAGATCAAAAAGATGCTGGAACACTCCTGCCAGGTGCTCTGCGCACAAAATGTAGGAAAGGTATATTATATACTAAATTTGACCAGGTATTCAGCACGTATTGCATTTAAAGTTGCACAATAAGACTGTTACAATAACTGGTCCTTAGCTTCTGGGCCTGAAAAGGGAAGCCAATGCAAAAGTGTGTTAAAGGTCCAATGTGTAGAATATAGTGGCTTCTAGTAGTGTAGTTGCTGATTACAACTCCCCCCCATAATCACCCAGGACCCCTTAAGCCCAGCAGAGGATGGATTTCCTAATGAGTTTCTTTATGTCAAAGCCCTGAAAGTCATGAAAGGTAAAAATGCAGTGAAACTTTTTAGTATGCTAGAGGAATATGATTGACTAATAAAGCTGTAGCCTCTTTGAATTCACTTCATAAGTGAATTTGCTTTTCCTTTATATTTTAATTTTGTTTCAGTCTTATGTCTATCTTGGTTCAGTTTGTTTTTGTATGTGAATAAAAAAATAAAATCTCCTTCTCTTTCAGGGGGTTCTAACGACTCCTCATACATGCCACTTTGCTGGTTCTTTGTTGCAATAGGTAAGTAAATAAGTACATATTAAATCTTCTTCAACCTCCTCCAGGGTTCTAACAGCTCCTCGTACACGATTCTGTTTCTCTGTGGCACTGAATAAATAAATACATAAATATTTAATCTCCTTTTGTTCCGGGGTTCTAACGACTCCTCATACATGCCATCTTCCTCCTGACTGTGGCATTAACCACCCCTCATACCACGTTACCGTGTAACATAAATTGCGCAACATGGGGGCAGGGCTGTCCTCCCCCTCCCCGCACGTTTCTCTGAGCAGACCGGAGCATTCATCCAGCGTTTGCTGAAGCTGCAGCATTCCCTTCGTAGCCCGGAGAGCAGCGATGTTTTCCTGCAGAGCGGCCTGGCAAAGGTGTGGGCCTTTGGCACGGACAGCAGCCTATAGGTTGCCCCGGGATGGTGAGTTCGATCAGCCACAACCGGAGCCCGAACGTATTCCCGTTCTCCACCACCTCTCTGCGCTAGAATGTGACGTTGCCTGTGTGGCCATGTGTGGCCATGTGTGCTCGCTGGAATAGTACACTCTGTCCTCATGTGAATGTCTCCGCATAGCTGCACCCCCGAGCCGCAGGAGCACTATGGCTGCCAATTGGGTGTGAAGGTCAAGTTCGCCTATTAGTTGAATTTGGGATGACCGGCTTTGGTGTGCACTTTAATGTATGGTGTTTAAATTGTGTCATTTATTTGAGCGTACATTCATTGCTGCTCCTCGTTGAGATATCGGTGTACCGTGAGCCCTGGTTGGACTGTGTGATAAGGACACTGAGCAACCACTCAGTGTACCCGCTGCCAGTGTTAGGCAGAGCGGGGGATGTGTAATCCTCCGTCTGTCAGCCTGTGTCCATACTTACTATATGTTAGTACATTTTAAAGCAGTGTATGGCGAACCGTTAATACTAATGAACCACATACACGTTTTATTGTCTGAAGCTCCGTTCATTGAATTGTCTGTTGGCTTTAAACGTTAATGTACAGCAGGTATACATTGTGTATGACCTTCAGCACACTGTGGGGAAAGTTAGTGTGGAAACATGGTTGCCGCTGTGCGTCACGTGGTGTGCGCGTGTGACTGTGGTCCAACGTAAAGAGTACAGAGGCACGAGCTAGCTACCCTACACCCCTGCGGTCGCTGAACGTATGGCCCCGTGCCACCGGTCTGATGACCTCACACAACCGTGAGCGACCCATGGAGACACTGACACTAGGAGACACTGACACTAGGAGGCCCAGTTCCGCCAGGGTGATGGGAAAAGGATTCTGCAAGTCATTCTAACGAGAAACCGTCTCAATAGTGACTTGGTATCTGAGAAACCTGCTCATTATTTGGAGATACTAAGTCAATATAGGTTCCTCAGTATAATGACTGATCATCGCTGATGAAAATGGGCTTACAAATTTGAAGGACAAGGGGCTTTTTCACCACCTACCTTTGTGTTAGCATTTGGGCTGTGAAACCTCCAACCTTGAGTCCAAGCGGCTATTCTGGTTCACGCTGTCAGCTGGCTGTTTGTCAGGTTAGCTCTGTTTCTGACAGGTTGAGTAAAGACCTTGACTTTTGCATTCAGATGTCATGTTTGGCCGAAAGTGTGTTTGCTGTATGTTTTGCCTCAAGAAGTGTGTGCAGCCATTACACATTTATGGCACATATCTATAACATTCTCCATTTTTAAAGATCCCCTCCAGACCTGTATCAAGATGTGTGTTTTTTTTTTTGACAAAGTATAATTCCCACATTAAAATCCTTAAAGACATCTACTCCTTCTTCTACCTCCATTTAAAAATTCCAGAGTCTATGAATATGGAAATGTTAATTTCTAAAGAAACACTGATTTTTGGCAATGGCAGCGAAAAGGATCTGCTCCCACTTTATTAAGAGTGGCTCATTGTAGTAAGGTTAAAAAAAAAAAAAAAGCAGGTGATTATATTCCCTCAAAGTCCACTCCATTCCCAACCTCCATTCAGAGATCGGACAAATATTGCTGGACACCAGACCCTGGCATTGCAGCCTCTCCTCCACTCCGGTGGTCCCACTTAACCGGAGAAGGCTATCATGCTCTAATCCTGTGACTTCTTGAACTGCTTCTCCTCCACTGGTCATGAAGTTTCACCACTTATCCCTCCAACTCATACCTAAGACTTGAGCCGATTAGCCGGTATAAATAACAGGGTCATGTCAGCCCTGGGCACCGGATTAGTTCCTGAGAATATGGAGGTGGTTAATACCCTCAACATGAGGGGCAACACGACAATACTCAACTTCTACAAGAACAACTGTTTAATTTGACAGTGTTTCTTTCACAGAGTTCACAATTGGAAGGCATTCATTTATCTATTTTAGAAAGGGAATTCATTTGGGTGCTGTAGGGGTATTGTACAGGTGGTGGTGATATGGATGTCTTCAGCCGATACCAACAACCACTTGCTTGTCATGGCCCAGACCAACAACAACAACCGATAACTGACAATTTTCACACTTGTTTCTAACCTGTAGTTCATGCACAACTGAGGGTAAAAGACTGTGAATAAGTTAGTTTCTGTTCGGTGGGCTTTGGCAAAGGCAAAATACGGCATGTAGTGTAAAAGCGCTTTAAGTGGTCAGAAGGTGCTCTACAAGTAGTCCTTTTTACCATTTACTATCTAGCGGTTGAGTTACAGATTGCAACTAACTGAATACCACTCGCGTCTGTATTTGATGACCTGGGAAAGAGAATAAGTGAAGTGTGTAGGAGAAACTACTGCGGCCGCCAAATGCGCAAAAAATGCTTAAGGGCTTATCTAGAGCCAATGTTTTGGTAACAGAAATATGGGGGTTCAACATGGTGGCGAACCACGGTGTCTGTAGAGGAAAAACCCACCTCCTTCTAAGGTAACAAATGATTCTGATGAGATTATACACTAATGGAAACTTACCATTTGAATATTATTATATATCCAAATATTATAATGACCACAATGTAGGAATAATTGTTTTTCATTACCTTACTGTGAGCTATTTCTATCTACTGATGCCGCAGGTCACCTTCCACAGTCTACCATGTTTCTACAGTAGCCGTGAAGGACAAACCAAACACTGGCTCTATATAGGGGTGTTTGCGGTTTTTACACATTTTGCAGCCAGCTTCTCTTTCACACTTGGAAGGGGAGGGTGAAGCGAGGGAATTGTGATCTGCAACTACACCCCTAGATGTCACTAAATCCTACACACTGGTCCTTTGTCAATGAAAGCAATGTTGGCTTTGTATTGTCAGCTCTATTTATTATTATTATTGTTATTGTTATAATAATAAATCTGTTAATTTATTATCTGCTTGTTGCTAGTATTAATAATGATTAAAACAGTACATTGAAAATAATATTGTGAATTGTATCGAATCGTGAGTTGGCGTGTTATGCTAAAATTATCGGAATTGCCAATATGCAAGAGCTGCCAATATCTTTGAATGAAATTTTAAAAGATGCAGCATTATAAATGAAGTACGGTAGTGCCTCAAGGTGGCCCTGCGCTCTCCAAACCTGTCCCTGTTTGTTTTGCCCTAAACTAGGCAGCCCATCCATTGTGAATCCTTTAGTTCACATCTTGCGTACCTTTTTTTTTGTGTGGATACACTGCGGTTTTGGACAGCCAAGTTCTCTACACCAAACGGCTGCATACTGTGTTCAGCTGCTCGTTTGATGGAAGAGTGATTCTCTGGTGTGTGCAGAGGGTTTAAGGGAATGCTGATGTAAGAGGCGTTGACTCCAGTCCAAGTTTGTTCATAGTAAACAAAGCTTGCTGGCCTGCATTTCCTTTAGTGTCGCTAAATGTTGTGCCAGCGAAGAAAATGCTGTGCCAAAGTAAAACAAAGCTTTTGCTGAGTCAAATGAAACAGGGTTTGATGTCTGCTCCGACTGCGACTAGTTGATCAGAGTTTTCCTCCCACCACTCTATTACCTGAACTGCAGTGTTTAACAGTGAGCATAACTCAACTGTCTTTTCTTTCCAAGGGTGTGGATCACCTTGCAGGCCTAAAACACGCACTGACAGGCATATTTTTGGCAATCTAAATCTATTTGGTGCTAAAGCCAATCAGAGCAGGAGGCATGAGGCCAATAAAGCGCCTTAGGGTGCTTCCAATCCCGAGTCGCTCGCCAGCTTATCGATGGCCCTGGGGCAGACCCTTGTGGCTTTGGATAAGATCCTGGCAGGACAGGCGGAAAGGGCCACACAAAGCCCATTAGAGCCTCACTCTCTGGTTGTGAAAGGATTGGAGCACACCTTCAAGGCGCTTTAATTGGCCTCAGTGCCCTCCTCGTGCTCTTGGGATTGGCTTTAGGCACCAATAGATTTAGATGCCAAGGAAATATGCTGTTCAGTGGTTTTTAGGCCTGGCAAAGGTGATCCACACCCTGGAAAGAAAAGACATGTTGAGTTAGGCTCACTGTTAAACACTGCAGTTCAGGTAATAGAGTGGTGGGAGGAAACTGCTGATGCAACTCAGGTCGCAAGGTCGGATGCAGACATGCAAACCCTGTTTCATGTTGACTCAGCAAAAAAGGGGGGGGGGCTTTTTGTTCTTGACTTTGGCTACAGCATTTTCCTATCCGCTGGCACAACACTTTTAGCGACACTAAAGGAAATGCATGGCCAGCAAGCTTTGTTTACTATGAATGCAAACTTTGGACTGGGGAGTCAACGCCTCTTACATCAGCATTCCCTTTAACACCCTTACTGCCACAGCACCAAGAAATCACGTCTCTCCATCAAACGAGCAAGCCCTGGAACACAGTATGCAGCCGGGGGTTTTTTTGTGGGGTTGTAGAGAGACTGTTGGCTGGGTCCCAAAAGCCGCAGTGGTATCCACACAGAAAAAGAAAAAAAAAGAAGGTTACGCAAGATGTGAAGCTAGCTGAGTTCAAAGATGGGAGCTGCCTAGTTTTAGGGCAAACAAAACCAGGGGACAATTTGGGAGCCAGCCACCTCTGAGGCGCACTAGTTACTTTCATTATAATGCTGCATCTTTAAAATTTCATCAAAATATTGCAGCTCTTGCATATGGCAATTCCGATAGATTTTCGCATACACGCAACTCTACGATTCGATACAGATCTCACAATATGTATTTCCAATGTACTTGTTCTAATCATTATTAATACTAGCACAGAGCAGATAATAAAATTAACGATTTATTATTATAACAATAACAATAAAATATAATATAATTAGGAGCTCGACAATACAAAGCCAACATTGCTTTCATTGACAACAGGATCCAGTGTGTAGGGATTTAGGTGACATCTTAGGGGTGTGAGGTTGCAGATCACAACTTCCCTCGCTTCACGCTCGCCCTTTCCAGGAGTGTGTGAAAGAGGAAGTGGGTGAAAATGGTGTAAAAACCGCCGAAACACCCTATATATAGGCC